CAGCCGCCTTGCCTGCCTCGCTGCGGGTAATGGCGCTGGTAATAGTGGGTCAGAAATCAGTGCTGTTTTTCAGAAGTTGGTCTGCTTGCTTTGGTATTTGGAAAAAAAAAAGGTGACTTCATATCATTGTGAACAAGGACCTTGGGGACAGGAAATGGTTTAGAAGAGACATGGATGCTTCATGACCATGAGGAGATTGAGCCTTTTTATGGCAAAGAACAGAAGTCCTGGCATAATGGCTGTTGTCATCCATGGACTTGCAGGCACAGGCTGTGGTGTACAGTCAGGATTGTTTTCTCTCCGGGAGATCCCAATCTGCTGCCGCACCTCATAGCATTACATAAGACCTTGCTCATTAACACCGGTTTGTGAGTTAATGACCACTGTCCTTGTTCTGTTACTGTATCTTTATTTAGTACAGCTGAGATCAGAGTCTGTTAGTTTATTCAGAGTTTCAGCAAGACCCTCTTGTTATGGGGTGTTATTCTTTTTCCTTGTACAGTGATAGATGGCTCTGTTTTTTTTTTTTTTTAGTATATATTGGTAATGGATGCTTGGTTTAGTAGTGGACAGGTTATGGTTGGACTCGATGATCTTAAAGGTCTTTTTCAAACAAATGCTTCCATAATTCTGTGGTTTGGTGTTAGATACAGGCATGTCGCAGCTGCATTTTGCAGCTCTGGAGCTCTCGCAGAGCCAGGACTTTGAGAGTGACTTCGTGCCTCGTGAAGGAGACACTGGGTATCGGTTTCACCCTGGAGCTGCTGTCCCTTCCAGAGTTGTGGAGAACGATACTAAAGATGGTGTGTGACAACGATCTTGGATATCCTTTTGCTACTCTTATCAGTTCTGATTTCTTTAAATTATGGATGTTACGTTTCTTTGACAGGAAATACAGCGTTAGTGGTTTTCAAAAATGAGTTCACAGCACATTGGCAGTTTAAAATAATTTTGCCTTCTCATTCCTTTGGGCTAGTTCATTTGTTTTCTTGTAGCTGTCCAAGTGGTGCCATCGATTCTTGCACCTCTCTTTCTCAGTTTGTTTCCAGAATATTCAGACAACCTGGCATTGTATTCCCTCCCTGGTAAAAACCTCATCCTGCCCTTTGTTGCTGTTATTGTTATCATTGAAAGTTCAAGATTTTTTTTCTTACAAAGCTTGTCTTGTTATTTCTGTAACTTGCAGAACTGTGCATTCTTCTCTTTGTATATTAATCCAGGTGGTTCAAGTAACAATTTGTTTTTCTCTCTTGCTAGATCTGCGTGGGGACAACACGGAGACGCTCCCCAGCACAGAAGCATGCGCTGCTTTGGAAGGCCAGCCAGAGAAGTCGGAAAGGTAAAGCATTTGCTATTGTAAGCTTTATAGTTTTAATTCTTTTTAAAAGAGAAGCTTCGGTTTTTTGAAAATTCTCTATATGTCTTTTATGCCAGATAGAATGATACTTAGCTTATCTTGTATTGTTATATCCTGCCACAAAATACTATTAAAAAGGAAGTGAAACAAAATTCCTAGAATCCGCATTGAATAGAAGTCAGTAGGACAATCTATGCCATTTAAGCATCACTTAGATTGGTAGAAGACTTACAAAACAATTCTGAAAATGTCACCTGTCAAGGATGAACCTGCTCTTTTTCCAGGAGAGAGAGATCGGTCTTCCTCTTTCATTTATTATTTTCAATTCCCCCCCCCCGCCGTGGTATATGTAGGTGAATAGCTTTCATCTGGGCTGATAGATTTTCTTTACAATGTTGCAGTATTACTTCATGCTTTGAATTTCTTAGGTCAGTGACTGTGTCTTGCTCTTCCAGAACTCTACAAGAAGAGGAGGAGCTTACCAGGAAAGAAACGCTTGTCTGTAAGCCCGCTAAAACAGAGAAATCCCTTGATTCTGATTGTGAGGAGTCGGATATCTTGTCAACCCAGGAAGAGATGTTTCCTGAAAATAATGCAACAGGTAACAATAGACAAGCAGAGCCAAAATGTCCATGCCAGAGATCATCGTAATCATCTTCCCTACTTGATCTTTTTAGGCAGGTAGTGTTTTAGGGTGAGGAGTGCGGCGAGTATTTTTCATGTAATTTCTGCCAGAATTGAGGACGCTTTGGAAATGGAAGGCCACAACATCTTTCGTTATACCATGGAGCGGTGTCTAAATGTCAGTTCTTTTAGAACAGTTGCACTGGCTTGTTAAGTACATTTAATTTACTTTCTTTGTGTGCCACTAGAAGAAAGAAACAAAAAACCCTCCAAACTTTAAACTCTTCTGAAACTGGCAATAATAATGCTCACCCTTTGCAGTGACAGACAATCCAGAGAGTGGATAAGTAGTATAGGTGAATATTGTGGACTTTCTCATACTGGATAACTTTGGCCAAACATTTCACCTTACTTGTCTGAGTTGGCCTTCCTGTTCGGGATAGGACAGGATTCTGCAATCAGCACCTTCGTGCCACAGTTTTGGTCAGTCCTAATTGTCATCTAGGTTAATGTTCCTTCCCTGCAAGAGACGAGATTACGTGACATAGGATCAGGAGAGAGGTCGTCACTGGGTGTCTGCTGGGAGGATGTCTGTGTCAGGTTTTGGTATCCACAACTGAAAAGCTAATAAAGAAATAGGAAGGTTCTTAGCAATCTTAATGGTGGAAGGCTCAGAAAATAAAGTTTTGAAAGGCAACCTTGTCACAGTTTATAAAGCATGAGCAAAATGAAGTCTCACTTAATGCTTTTTGTTTAGCTTTAATTTGTGCACAACTGTATCTGTACCAGCATGACCTTGTGTGAGCCCTCTGTATCCAGAAGGTTCAGTAACAGCCTCCTCCTCACACTGTAGCAGTGTTCAGTGCAAGTGTCTCTTCTTGTAAGAGCCTTGCCTGTATTTACATTTTGGCACTGGATCAAATGTGCTGATATTGGAGCTGTGGGTGATTTTTCTTTTAAAATTCCCAAGTAGGAAGACCTGGACAGTCTGACCTGACAAGTTTGTACCTATAGAACAGATCTTTATCTTCATCTCAACTGTGTTCTGCTCACATTTCACATGCTGGACTTTCCTGTGCAGTCCTTCTCCAACTCTCTGTGAAAGTCAGCTTGTCCTTGCCTACCTGAGGAGTAGTGTGCAGTACCTGCCTGTGCAGTAGTTGTGAGTGGCATTTCTCAGTGTTGTGATCCCTTGGTTATTGGCCGGATTTCTGATCTTGCTTCCTTTTGTTCAAAACTGCTGCAGGGAGCGGCTGTCCCATAACTGGGGTGGAAGAGGGAAGTTCTTTGGCGTGTACCCCTGCCCGCAGCCTGCAACTCCTGCAGCTCTCTGGACAGGGATCCCTTGTGCAGGAGACTCATTCCATGTAAGCCAAAAATCCAAAAAACTATTACAATAGCTTAATTGCAGTAATGCTTTTCCACCATTCTTTATTGAAGGACTTGGGCTTGATTTTAAGCCATCAGTGTCTTAATTTTGCGCTATGAGAGGAGCATGGTTTATTTTGCAATGAAATGGACTAATGATGCCCACGTGTTTGATGGGCATTTTCCAAGTCTCTTGACCAGTGAACACCTCACTCTCCTTTTATGAGGAGAGTCCTGTTGTGACAAGCTGGCGGTACACTTGGGGAGAAGTTCATGCAGTTGCTAGTGATGTGTGGTCGTCTTTTCCATGTTCCCTTTTCTTGGTCTGCAGTGTCTCTTCAGGCCAGGTTACTGCTCCTGCTGCCTTTGGATCCAACGCTCTTGTCCCCAGCAGTCCTACTGAACAGGAGCAAGCAAAAGGTAAAATTTTATGCATGCTGCTCTGTGGTTGTGTTTCTGTGCTCTGTGGTTCAGTCTGAATGTGCAGCCTTTTCAAAACCTGCTAAAATTGTATTTAGAGTAAAGCAGCATGGAGAACACCGAAAGAGATAGGTGAAGGGAGATCTGTATTCATGCTCAGGTGCGGGTGTGCTGTCGATACTTCCTGCAAAGCTATCATCATAAAACGAGTACCGGTGGCTAGCTCCCCTTCACTCAAAAGATGGGAAACGCTTCGTGTGGTATCCAGACTGCTGCTTGCAATTCTCCTTTCTTAGGGACAAGCCATTCTTGCTACAGGGGTATCTGTACTCAGTATGTGCTGTTAGGGCCATGGAGAGGACAGAGGACAACTGCATCATAATGTGTTTTTTTACCTGATCTTGGATCACTTGCACAAGAGCTTTTCGTCTGTTGTGTGTGTATTCTAGAATCCTGTGCCAAAAGAGGGGCTGTTCTCTATGATACCTCAGTTCTTAAAAATTGTCTTTAAGCACCCGTTCACCATCAGGGGTAAGATACCCATCCACGCAGACTTTTAGTATGATACAAAAATCACTATTCCTTCCCGAGAGATTTATGTCACAGAATGTGAAATACTTCTAGAGTAGGTATTTTGTTAGCTGGGATCTGAATTCGGTTGCATTTTAATAAAGCTAGCAAAAGGAAAAAAAAGCCTCAGATAAATGCTTTTTATAAATTTCAGATAACTTTTTCTCACTGTATAAATTCTAGACCTGTAGCAAAACAGCTATATGAATTCTTAACAAAGCACTTTCTCCCCTTCTTAAATTTAAGGATATGGATGTTTTTGTTGATTTTTCCACCCCCACCCTCCCCCAAAAAACAGAGCTCATCTGGAGAGAAGATTTTAGATTCACCTGTTAAAGTACGAGAAGATGCATACGCCACTGGAGACAAGTCTTTTAATAGAATGTTGGAAACTTCAGGTACAATGCAAGAACTTGCTAGTAATGTATTTTTTGTTCTTTCAAACCAGAGGAACAGATGGATGTGTCTGTCCCTGCAGAAGGAAGAGAGCTGGTGCAGAAGGAGAGAGCAGACACGCTGGTGGAGATGACCATCCCATGTACCCCACCAAGACCTCTTGTCCCGCCACAGGCATCAACTCCGGTGTCCCAGAATGCCCCGACCTTCTTTCCTGGATCTTTACCTATCCCATCACAGCCAGAGTTCTCTCATGTAAGTGTTCACGTACCTTTTCTGAGGTTTTTTTGTGGCCGTTACAGAAGATGTGTGTTTGGGTCAGCCTCCATGCTGCTGTGTTGAGCTTCCCTGCTGAGCTGGCTCTCATGAGCTTCCCTGTTCCCAGCACTCACCGTTATACTGTGATCATACTGTGTGGCGGTTCATCCTGCCGAGGAAAAGCTTTAGAGGGAGTAGTGAGTTACTGAACGTAGGATTTGTTGTCTTTTAAGCTACCCTAGAAACCTTCTCGTGCTTTTGTTTTGGTCTGTCTTTCTTTGAAAGGCTGCTGCTTTCTGGTGCTGGACTGGGTGTCCTGCATCTCAAGCTGCATCATAAATTAGACTTTATCAGGATATACCTTAGCATTATTTGGCATAGAAATATTTGGAGAAAGTGAGGCTGTTTTGTAATAAAATAAAGCATTTGTATTCTCCTACAAGGCTTGAATTAATTTACTGCATTTTCCAAGTTGCTTATTATTATTATCTGTTGTTTCCTTTGTGCTTTTTGGTTCTGGAAGTTTTTACTGTTCAAAAGGATTTAACAGACAGTTGGTGGCTTTATAGCTTAATATTACAAATTTCACCAACTTAAGGCAGAAAATAAAGCTTATACTAGACACACAAGTAGTCAAAGCAGGGCTTCTCCTTAGCTGACAGTGACTGTCATGCTAACACAACTGATCCTTCCAGAGAAGCCTTCCAGAACCCTTGACTGTTTGACTGAAAACAGATCCTGACTTAAGCTGTACCTTATGATTTGGTAGTGAGAGGTGTACCAAGGATTGTGCCTGACTTTGCCAGAGATACTAAAAAGTAATGAGTGGTGATAATTTTTCTCAGCAAGAATGTGGCAATTATGACTCCTATAAATGAGTCTGCTACTGCTTGTCTGTAGTTTTGTGCTGAGTTTGCTTTGCTCCATAATCCAGTGTAATGAAGAAACAGTCCTGCTCGGAATGTCCTGACGGTCCATGTCCCACTTTTTCCATTTTAGGATATCTTTGTTCCAACTCAGAGCCCAGAGGAGAAGCATGAAGAAGAAGAAAAAGCTGCTGCTTTGACCCATTTATGCCTACCAGGAGATGTCTCTGGACCCAGAGATGCATTGTCCAAGGTGTCATCGGGTGACTCTGTGTCACAGCCTTCTGAGTCCTGTAAGCTGATGCTTTCTACAAGTGAGTGCAGCGAGCCCACAAATACAGAGGTCAGCTCTGGCTCTCTGGACGCTGGTCAAGATAACAAAACCACGCAGGTGGAGGTGGTTTCTGATTGCAAGGCCTCAAACTTGAGACTCTGCTCTGTGGAGGATGACAGCATAAAGTGGAGGCTGGATGCAGGTGATCAAACCCTCTCTGAAAACTGTGACAAAGCAAAAAAGGAGGATTTACAGACTGCAGGAAAGCCTGTAATGCAGTCAGTTAGTGTGGATGTAGCAGGAGAGGAATCATTTGCCCCTACAGCTCCTCAGGAGATGGAGCATGTTCCTGGGAGTCAGGCTGCTGCGGATCAGTCTGGTCTGCCTGGGCTCTTGTCTGGTGCTCAGGGTAGAGACACACAGTCTGAGGATCACCCATTGGAAGGGACTCCTGAACCTGAGGCAGTTCCCGAGACTCAGTGTGAGGAGCAAGAAGAAAAACTGCAAGTAAGAGAGAAGCAAATAAATGAAGACGGGTCGCTTGTTAATGTAATGCTTTCTCAGAGGCTTATTCTTGAAAGGGAAGAGCAGAGTCATGAAGATATGGAAGTGGAATTTGCTGATGGTTCTTGTGAAACTAGCAAGGATCTGTCTGATGAGGCTCAAGAATTGGAAAAGATTGGACCAGAAAGCGAGGGAAAAGAAGCTTCAGAAGGTTGTCCTTCTGTCACTGGAGAGGCAAAGAGCATGGATAAACCGTCTTCTAAGGCTGCTTCCGAAAACATGCCAAAGCTCAATAAAATTTTATCTAAGCCTTCTGCAGGGGAGTTACTGGAACAGCACAACGATTTGTTTCTGAAGTTAAAGAGTGACGTTCCATCGGAAGTGGTGGTGTGTGCCAAAAGCCACCCAGATTGTTCAGAATTAGGACGGATAACAATAACGGGGAGTCAGCCACTGCTTCAGGAGAGAGGGGCTGCCGTGCCGGTGCCTCAGGAGAGCCGAGTGCCGAAGGGCGCGGAGGGCACCGTCACGGCAGGGAATCTGGAGCAAACAGAGCAGGTGCAGCCACAGGAGAAGGCAGCCGCTAAATCCCCCAGTCCTTGCAGTGGTAAGTGAGTTCAGGTTGTTAGTTCACAGGTGTGCGCTTTGGATAACGTCAGGGACAGCTCTGTGCAGTTGTCGGTGTTTTCAGGGGGTGCTGATCTGGCTGGGTGTCTCTTCAGAGCAGCACTACACGTTACTGTCTTATACGCATAACGTGCCTTCTCTTTTTTCTGCTTGGGCACACTACTGCAGGCAGGAGTGATGAGGTAATTCTTGTTCCTCTAGCACTCCGTTTTATGGCAGAAATGCAGAGCAGCTTTGAAGACTCAGTGTTGTGACCTTGGCAATGCTCAGCGATTTTTGTAACTTTGTTTTTGTTTTTTTAACCCAGAAGCAACAACAGCAGTGTCCTTGGAAGGACAAGGTGTGTGGTAGTCTGTACTTTCCCTCTTGTAGGTCACCTTACTCCTTCTGATTGTTTTTGGTCTTGTTTTCATTCCTGGGGAGGATTTTCTTTGTGGGGAGCAACTTTGAGCTAGAGTAGTGCGGTGCTGCTGGGATTCAGTGGGGTGTCCAGCAGGGAAGATGTGTGTGAACTGTCTGGTAGATTCAGAGGGATCAGACTGTGGGTTTGGTTTGTGGAACCCAAAAAGCCGTGGGCTGGGCAGAATTTCTCCTGCACTCAAAGGCCGTGGTGTTGCTGTGTAGCCCTGTGGTCTGTTCTGCAGAGCTTTGTTCAAGCGGTCGTGTTTCCTTTTGAGAAATGGGTGTCAGATACACAGCTTAGGAAACGCTTCCTGACACTTGGCTGCCTTTTTCCTTTTACATACTTGGTTGATAACTGGTCTGAGTAATTTTCTGTTCTTGGTCAGTGAGGGATATCTCTCATTTTCTGTGCCAATTTATGCCTGGGGGTTGGTTGGTTTTTTTTGTTTTTGGAGAGCTGTGCACTTCTTCCAAACTTCTGTTGTCAGTCTCGCAAGTCCCATTTTTTTGTTACTGTTTTCTGAACTACTGATTTAATCAGAAGATGAATTTCCAGTTAGGAACCGATGCCTGATGCCATCTATGGCAGCTCTGGCTCTTTCCTGAGCTCATTCTGACATGGTTCCCTCCCCTTTTCTGCAGTTCTTGTGCCCTGGAGCCGTGCTGAGCTCTGGAGCGGGTTGGGCAAGGACAGGATGGCAGATTTCGGAAAGGAGCGAGATGCAGAGCTGCTGCTTTCTGTCTGAGCAGAAGTAGGTGGGATGACTTTGAAGTGCTGATGGAGATTTGGATGAAAAAGGATTGAGTGTAATACTTGTGTGTGTTTTTAATAACAAATTTGCTGACAAGTGTGAGAAAGGTAACCATTCAGTAGTATGGAACTGACTGGCGAGAAGAAACTAAATACTAAAAGGCAGGATGAAGTGGTATCTTGCATTGTAAGAGGAGAATGCCAGGTAAGTACCCATAGCTGTAGAAGTTCGATTACAGCTGGGTGCGGGAGAGAGACCTATGCAGGTCAGCAGGTTTGGAGAGGCTCCAGCAAAAGACGATTGCAGTTTTTGAGCTAGACTTTGCTGTAAGTATCTGTTGACCTAATTTAAACCAAAATAAAGCTAAAAATATTTTCAAGGAGTATGGATCTTTGTGGCTACAGCTTTTTAACATCACAGACATCAGAGAATGACTTCTGCGGTGGTTACTTTATTTTGAGTTGAGTTTATGTTTAGTCATGTAAAAATTCCCATGCTTAGGGGTTCTGATATGTGCTTTGGGTAGATTTAAAAGCTCTCTTTTCCCGATAACGTAGTCCTCTACACCGTCAAAAACAAGCGTCCCTTGCCATCGAATCGTGAACCACTGCTGCATTTACCATTGAACTTGCTGTTTTATATCAGTGAAGTGTGCTGCTGCTGCTGCTTTCACGAGTGAAGCGTGTGACTCCATCCACCACAGTGGGCCAGGAGGAGTTCTGGTAGCTAAATTGATCAGAATCAAGTGGAGCTTTTGAGGACTTCAGGTTTTAAATAGAGCACTTTTAAATGGAGATCTGCTGCAGGTCATGATGAGAATGCATTCATTCATGAGCTGTTGGTGGGGAGCAGTGGGGTATTTCGGTACGTGGTGTGCCCACTGCACCATGCAGCACCTGCCCACCTTCAGTTGATCTCAGGAGTGCTGCAGTTGCTGAACTCTGTCTTTAAAACCTGCAGCAGCAGAGCAGGAGGTGGTTTTCAGGGTTTTCAAATGGACAATCAATGGATTTTCACTGGCTAGGGTTTTTCTGCGAGGGGATGATGTCTTTGTTGTGTATTTATGGCTCCATTTGCCACAGGGTAGTTGTGTAAATCATGTCAGCGTCTTTGGGGACCTAAGAATGATGCAGTGCATCTGACTATAACCAAAAGTTACATCTGAATATCTAGTGCTGGCTCCTGAATTTAAGGAACTTGAATTTGTGTTCTCATGACCTAACTAACCATTTTTCAATAGTGTTTAGTTTGGGGGATTTTTATTCATGCTTCTTAAAGTTCAGGAGTTACATAAATTGTGGCTTGCATTACTTGAGTAATATCTTGAATGAAATCCAAGGATCAAATACAATTTTAGGAAAAGGGAGGATAGTGACAAAGAAAACCTATTTTGACCTCAGTCTGAGGAGGAAAGGATTATTCTGTTGGTTTTGTTAAATACATCTGCAATTTCGAAAGAATGCAGGCTGCAAATCACTGATGTGTGGTGGTGAAGGTTTGCAAATAAATGACGTGGGGTTTGGCAAAAGGAGGGAGTGTTTTACTGGGTTTTTATTGTATTTTATCTGTTAAATCCTGCGAGATCCGCAGGTGGCGTGGTTTTCCTGGCAGGGTAGCACACCTCGGCCTGCAGCCCCTGCGACCCCTGCAGCCCCCTTGCGCTGGGGTCTGCCCGAGGAGGGGCAGCAGCTTTGGACAGGACGGGGTGGGGGCAGCTGCAGCCCCTGGTGTTTCTCTTGGAGCTTGACTTTCCAGGCGGGTTTCCGCTGGTGCTGCCTGACCCTCAGTTGCCTGCTGCTGACGGTTTGGACTCATGGGTGGCTGTCTGAGGTGTGTCTGCCCCTTTTAGCCGAGGCTGCTCGATGATAGAGCATCATTCTGTGTACGTTTCAGGTTATTAATTCAGGCAACACGTAGCCCTGCCAGTTCACCACGGTCCTAACCTTGTTTCTGTTTCTGGCCTCATCTGCCTTTTGTGTGGAAAATCCTGAGCATTTCTGAAGCAAAGCTGCATTCAGTGGAAGCCCTACTCATGTCAGGATATTTATTCTCACTTACCTAGCACTGGGGACGGCTCCATCAAGGTGACCACAGCCCAGACTTTCACCGAGAGATTTTTCCACACAAAATGTGAGGGAGATGGGTTAGAGGAGCTGACACCAGTGATGGTCCGGGGGGGTTTGTACAGGACAGCAGCAGGGTTACGCTTTTCATATTTCCACAGCACAGCGACCCTGTGCTTTTGGTGTTTGGACCAAAGCAGTCTCCTGCAGTTACTGATCCTGGCGCTCTCTGTCTTTTAGGGACCTCGTTTCATTTTACTTTGCCAAAGGAGGGCGATGTCATTCAGCCCCTGACCAGCACAACACCGCCTCTCATTGGCCAGCTTAAAATGGGACCCAGAAGACACAGCACCCCAATTGGTGAGTGCGGCCCGAGCGGCTGCTCTGCTCGGAAGCTTTTGATTCCTGGTGCGGGATCTGGTAGGGTAGCTCAGGCTGACCTTGGCAAAAAGTGCTGCTGTTCTGCGGGGTGACTCGACCTCTCCATGCCTCCCTTGGCCACGCTCTCCTCGCTCCCTGGTGAAGGTGGCGTGAACGTGGCTCCTTGCACTCGCTGTGTCCCTGCATGCAGCTTCACTAGGGAATGCAAAGGACGCCTCTGAGTAGTGAAAGAGCTCAGACTACAAGAAGATTGTTCCCAGTATTCGTTGTCTTTTAGCAGGACTTTCTCTGCTAGGTTCACAAAACAACACCCTGCATATGCTGGGTGGAAGGGAGTGTGTATTTCTGCCTGGGAGATGATAGAGTATCCTGATCGCAAGCTAAGGACGATGTCTGTGCTACAGAGCTTTCATCTCCACAACTGTAGATGGGCATTTCCACTACTGCACTATCGCAATAACGCGTGCGGTGGAGCATCTTCAAAACGGAACCAGGACCTGAACCCTCAGTGTGAATGACAGTAGATACTTTTTGGTTTAGTTTTCTCTTTGTTTTCCTATTTTCAGTGGATGGTAGCTGCCCAGACAGCACTATAGCAACTAGTGATGTTACAGCAGAGGGCACAATGGGGACCAACAGCGTCACTGTGGAAAGTGCAGTGGTGTCGGCAGATGTGTCGGACGTGTGTGAGAAAGGGAGCTCTGCTGTGGTTCCTGAGGCTGACGCAAAACTCTCCCTGCGAATAAACCTTGTTACCCCTGTGAATGATGGGAGCGAGGAGTCCCTGCCCTTCAGCTTGGAAGGTAAGAGGATGAAACCCTGAAACACGCAGGTCCTGCTAGATCTCAGCCCTAACTCAGACCCTCTTTGTGGCATTCCCCGAGACAGTCTCCGAGTCTCTGTAATTTTTCTTATTTTTCTTTTTGGGCAGTGTCACTTAAATTTGTTTGTCTGTTTCTGCAATGCTCTAAGCAAGGATGGAGTGAGAGGAGAGGCCTCTGTTGTAAGGAAAGGTATTTCCAGCAGACTAAAAATTGTGATGTATAGTGGCAGTGTCACAGGACAGGAACTGGAGTTTGTTTATATTGAGAGGGAAGATTTTAACAGTATAATCTGGACAAAAGAGTTTGACATCATTTTAATCTAATAGCCTAAAACTTGTAGAAACTCTGACCTGTGATGCGAAGTTGGGTGGGGAGGCCTGGGCACCCTTGTCCAGTGTTACTCAGCCTCTCTCTTGGCTGAGTGAGGGGGGCTGGGAATGGGCAGAAGTGTCTGTTCAGGTGACTCCAAAATCATCCTTCCCTTCCTTGTTTCAGTGCCTGCGGCCAGTGTCAGGAAGGATGGGTCCTCTGCTGCTGCCGGCGCTGCTGCCAGGTAACCAGGCTTGTTGCTGCGCAGAGCTGGTACGAAGGTCTGGGTAGATCCTTGTTCTGATCGGTACCAGGAGCGGAGGAGAAAAAATAAAATGAGACACAGAAGCAGGGAATGCTTTTAGCAGTAGGTGTGATGTTAACTCTGCAGCTCTTGCAGCAGGTTTTAAGTACGCAGGCAAGGTGGGTGCCCCCCCTGCCCTTTCACGACAGGCTTTCTGCTTCCCACCGATGCCGGGATCTTGTCTCCTTCTCACTGTAGTCGAAGCAGAATTCACGTCTTCTGCAGTCCGGTCTGCACTGTCCACCTCTTAAATTGCAAATACATGGTTTTCTGCTTGCTTTCCTTATTGTGCAATTTTCTGCAAAGGACCACTGAGAGTTTCCGAAGGATATTTCTCTTCTTGATACAAAGCTGATAGAAGCATCACCAGGACACCAATATGCTGAAATAACAGTTTAACATGTTGACCAAAACATGAGTTACTTTCTTGGTTGTTTTATTTGTATGTATTATCTTACATTTAATGCTTAGCATTGCTTGACTGTATCTTTTGGGGAGTGTGGTTTCTAAGTTCTTACAAGAATCTGAGCCAGAAGGTGGTGACCTGCAGTCATCCGAGGGAAGTGTAATGGTTTGAGGCAGAGAACTCTGAAATAAGCTCAGCATCTCTTGTCACAGGATTGCTTGCTGGATGGCAATCGTGGTTGGGCGCTGAGAAGGAGAGGCAGTCACTCCTCACTGGTTGAGGATGGGTTGCCGTTGTTGGTACACTTGGTATCTCGGGGTCTGCTTCATGGCTGTCATTCAAAGCATTTTTTTGATGTGGCTGACGTGTCCCCTGGTGGGTACCAGAGGTGGTAGATGACCTAACTCCTGATGTTGCAGTTTTTCACACCAGTTTTCTGGAATTGTTACGTTGCTCTTGGCTGTGAGGGTGTCTGCAGAAGTGACAGAAGTGCTTACGCAACTGCAGCTTGTTTCTCGACCTCTGAGACTCACAGTCTCGCTCTTCCCGTGGCTGGATAGGCCAGCAAGCTCCACACCGGTTGTTGTTTTCCCAAGAGGCTGGGGAATGCTTGCTTTGCTGTGTAAGGGATTTTCTCACTCGCTGATGCTTTTTTGTTTGTTTGTTTTGAATCTGCACTGCTAGCTCCCAGAAAGCATCGTCTGTGTTTAGTCATGTCTGTGAAGTTCGTCGAGAGGATGAGGCCAGAGGTCATGGTCTTTCCACTTCTCCATTTAGGTAACTCCTCAGTCTTTGCCTGCCAGTCCTGGTTGGATTTATATGCACATGTGCATTTTCTACATCCAAAGTAATTGCACTAAGTCAGTGTCTTTGGGTGGCTTAAAAGGTTGGGTACAACAGGGTAAGTATGTTACGTACTGTATGTCTGTATCTCACATGGTAATCAGACCTAACTTGCTGGCTGAGCCGTGGTGTGATTCCAGCTGGCTCATAGGCTTCGGTAAAATCTGGGGCTTGAGAGAACTGAGGTCATCCTTGCAGCTGTTGAAATTTCTTTTCTTTCTCCTCTTCCAAGATCTTCTGACCTGCTGTGTTATTGTTTCTGCTGTTGTCTCCCTTCCAAGTCTATCAATTTTTGCTGTCTCTGGTTGCTTTGAAAAGGACTGTCCTGCTGCATATGTTACTGTGGTAGGAGTGCTGGCAGGAGGACCAGGTGTAGGAATCTGCTGCTCCAGTGTTTTCCATCCTGTGTTTTGATGGGGCAGTGAAGTCTTGGTTTTCAGAGAAAGAATAACTGTTCAGCACTCTTGAAATGTAGGTGATACGGAAGACCACAACGAGTAGGGAGTTCCAGAGCTGGGTGAGGTACAGACAGAACAGCAGTTGCTCCTCAAAATCCTCCAGCACACGAGGGAAGCCAAATGTATACTTCTAGTGAGGCTCAGTATACAGTCCCATGTGGTACCAGATAACACTTGACAGGGCAGACAATTCTAATGAAAACGTTAGATAGTGTTTGTATTTATGCTCCTGCCTCCTCTCGCTAGGTGTGATTACCAGTTCCAAGCCAGTGAAGTGCTGAAGCAGCCTGTAGCAACTTCAAGATGGCATGACTTCCAGATACGCCAGATGTGTGGAGTATAGATTGCTTTATTAGTGTTTGGAAAAGCACTTAGTTCCCTACAGGTGTCAGCCATTCTTCTTGCTACGATGTGAATCACTTCAGAGATATCGAAAGGTTATTTTATAATTCGAGACTGACTGAGTTCTGTGCGATCCTAAGAGCAATTGAATGACCGCCAGGGTTTTTCCTATAGTGCTTTCACTTGAGTGGCTGCATATTGATTGTCTTGCTTTTTTAATCAATAATTTTGATCTGTGTGCAACTGTTTTGCAGGGGGCATCTGTTCAGTTCTCCTGGCACAGAAGATGATGCCGAATTACATGAAAATCCCAGTGGTTGGCAGTACCAGCAGCACAAGGCAGGTGGTGGGCAGGTGCAGATCCCTCAGGGGGTGCAGCAGGATTGCCATCAGCAGTCTCCTGCTGCAGAGGATGGGCAGGCTGTGGAGAGCGGTGTTGTAAGCACTCGGGCAGAAGAAGGGAGAAGAATGCACAAGAAGCCAAGTAAGGCTATTGGACTTGACGAAAGCCGAGAAAGGTGGGCAAACACCAAGAATAAAGGGATTCAAACCACCACAGACTGTTTTTTTATTCCAACAACTGTTACAACAGCAACACAAACGTCAGAAGAAATCTGCAGACAAGTGGAAGTGGGAACCAGTATGTCTGGGCAAAGACCTGGGCGACGAGATGCGCACGTCCAGACTGAGGAGAGTGGGGAGAAGCTCGTGAACGCCTCTGGAGAGGACACGGACTCTCTGCACAGTCAGGTGGGACGAAGGCTGCCTGTATTTAATGTTGCTGCTTTAGAACAGTCAAGTGTCCCTTCAGCCAGGACACTCACTGACAGTAGGTTCTCTGTTGAAAAAAGCCGGAAGACCACTTCTAAAATGTTCATGTTGCAAACTTTCCTCTATCAGCCGTACGCAACTGCTAAGGCAGCAGTGCTCGGTGGGGCAGTGTAAATTTGGGAAGTAAATTTCTCCATATTTGTTTTATTGAAAAATGTGACAAGTTTTGGTTGGTTGGTTGGTTTTGTGTTGGGTTTTTTTTTTGTGGCAAGAGGTAGTTAATGCTGTAAAAAAGAATAAAAAAATCCATCTAATGATGATGGATAAACACACGAGAGGAGAGCTCCTCCAGAGGAACCTCCTAGCAAGATGAATAACTTCAAATTTGTATTTCAGAAGGATTTGTAGACCCAAGAAAAATCGCTGCTTTGCAGTTCAAGCTTGTATATTTTCTTGTGAACACAAAGACTAGAAAAATTATTTTCTTCTAAATTTGGGACTAGTGTGTCCTCTGGGAAGCAGGAGATTAACAGGGCCATGAATATGCATTGCAGCACTGATGTGATGTGTCCGAGAGTCCCCTGGATGAAAGAGCACCAGAAGCCGTGCTAGGCCAGTTTGCTGCTTCCTCCCCGGGCTGCTCTGGCTTCCCTTCCTCCACCATCAGCAAATCAGCAAAATGTGTTCAGTCGTCCCTTGTTTAGGTTCTCCTGTGTCACTGCATCAGATGTGTAACAAGATGCTGAACGGTTCCCTGCCCTGGTACTTGAACGTGGTATGAAGAGACGATGCTGTCTCGAAAAGGTTCTTCATCATGGTCTGATTTGTTTTTATTTGATCCTGTTTGTTACAGGGAGAGGAGGAGTTTAACCTTCTTCACCCACCCAAAGGCCGAGTTCATCATCGCCACACGCGAACCATTCGAGAAGTGCACACTTCTGTTACACGTGTTATAACAGACGTTTACTACATAAATGGTGTAGAGGTGGAACGGAAGGTAGTTGAGGTAGGCTCCTGTTTTCAGGGTTAACTGTAATGACCCATTGCCTGAAAAATGAAATTAATTAAAGTGAGGATTTGTTGTGGCTGCCGAAAATGAGTTGAGTGACCAAGTCAGCGTGCTGCGATGCCAAAGTTTCCTTGGTGAGCACACACGTAGACCGTGCAGTGCATGGCGAGAGCGCTGTCTTTGTTGCTGGCGCATTTCGTGCCCATTGCTGTAACCTGAAGACACACCGACTTTTTCTTCTCAAAGAACTGGACAAAAGACTGCTATGTGTGTCCCAGTCGTTCTAAAATTGTTGATTTTGTCAGAATAGAGACATTTCAGAATGGGCAGAAATTCTATTAGTAAGCAAAAATCACTTCTGCCTGTAAAATTGACTCTGTAAGGTAGTTTAGCCTGTTTTGCTGCTCAGGGTCATTTTTAACCACGCTCCTTTGAGTCCTGTGGACCATGTTCTATAAGAGGTCTACAAAAAGCAAGATAAATAAATAAATAAGCTTATTGTTAGTATCTTTGTGCTGGTGTGTGTCCATCCATAAATAAATTCATCTTTAGGGAGTCTCGAGACAGCTGACAATGCTGATTTGATGTGCACATTAATCACATCAGCTTGCTAGCAATGAAATATTACTGCTGTTTTGCTGTGACGGTGAATAACAAGGGTCTTGTGCTGTGTTGTTACAGTGAGTAATGACATGAAAGGATAAGTTAATTCAGTGCAAAGCTTATACTTTCACAGCTGATACTACACATGAAATTGCTTATTGTAATATTAAAATAGTTAAGTTTCCTGAAATGTGCTTACATGGGTTGTGTAATCAAAATCATATAATGATTTCCAGTTTATCTACCGACATTTGATATCACTGTTTTGTAGATACATATTTTTATATCCATAAAACCGTACTGTGTCAAACTGACCAGCTGTCTGAAACCCATCTTGGATTATTAGTGACCGAAGGCTGGTAGTGTCTCATGTATTTGTTGCTCTCGCACTCTGGAGGGGTGGGAATTTTTCAAAGCCAGACTGATCTGATACAACCAAGCTCTGTCCTGTTGACTTATTTCTTAATGTGACTTCATGCAGGGGTTGGTCTGGATGATCTTTAAGGTCCCTTCGAACCCAAACCATTCTGTGATTCTTCATATAGAGCTGCAGGCCTGTAGAGAGACAGACACCTTGTCTGCCGTGATGGTGCAGAGTCAGATTGCGTGCCCGGCTTCAGTTTCGTGAACGCAGTCTTGGTGCATCTGCACCTTTGCCTGGTGGTTGCAGAGCTTCCATCCAGTGAGTGCATCGCCTCTGACGAACCTCTTGTTTTCCTCTTCAGGAAACTGAGGAGCCTGTAGTGGAGTGCCAGGAGTGCGAGGCTGACACCTCCTCCTCCAGAACGGCAGGGGGCTCCTCACTGACCTCGGGGGACCTGGGCGATGTCAGCTCCTTCTCGTCGAAGGCCTCCAGCCTGCACCGTACGTCCGGGGGAGCAAGCAGTGGTCACTCTGCCACACACAGCAGCAGCAGCAACAGCTCAGGGCGAGGAACTGGAGCTGTCAAAGGGAAAGTGTGTGGGACAGAAACTGGAGAGTTTGCTTTACCCACCGGCAGAGGCGTCTTAGGAAAATTAAGGTACGTGCAGAGCCTTAGGAAGTGAACGGATATTTTGTAGTGGTGAATAGCTGGCTTGGGTGGAGTCTGGAGCAGGGTACAGAGGAATTTTCTGGAAAGGATCTGGCTTGATGAACCGAAACAAGGAGATAGTCTTTGCTTTCACTTCTGCTCTTCCTAAAGGAATGGCTTGTTTCCTGGTGAGGCATTGCTTTGCCTAAGCTCTTGTCAGTTTAGTGGCAATGAGGCAAACTTCTTGACCGGTTTGAGCTCACAGAGAAGTGGGGGGAATCCCAATGTGCTGGCTTCTCTTTTCAGAGCAGCTAATTCCTGAATTCTCCAGCCCTAGGAAAGGAGCTGGTCAGCCAGTGTCTCCACTCAGAGTCAGCCAGACCGGAGCGCTGCCTTGTGAGGAAGAGGAGGATTCTACGCCTGGCACCCGTCACGGTGGCAGAGGACCTGTGACACCTCGTGGGCGAGGGAGAAGAGGCCGCCCACCATCTCGAACAACAGGAACAAGGTACCCTGTTAAAAGGAGACTGTAACTTTACTGCCAAGGAAGAGAACAGGGAGCTACCGTCTTAATGTGAAAGAGAAAAAGGTGTATTGGATGTTTTGGGAGCTAATTTTTGGTGATGGCGTGTAGCTGCTGCAAGCACCTTGCCCAAGTATTCTTTGTTTAGTAACGGTTGGGTGTGCTTTTCTCTTTTCTTCCTTCTGGGACTGCCTTTCTCTTTTTCTGCAGAGATGTAGCTGGACTGCCAGGTGTGGAGGATCTCTCAACTACAGCATCACCTGAGGAGAAATCATTTATTCGTTCAGTTCGTGTGCCGGACGGAGGGGAGAAGTCTGATGCTTCTCGGTTCTGTGCCTTACGTCGAAGTGACTCTCCAGAAATCCCATTACAAGTGTGTGGAGCTTTGGACTGTGCAGACTCATCCTCTGGGAGCAGCTTTGTGGGCCTCAGGGTTGTAGCAAAGTGGTCCTCCAATGGGTACTTCTATTCTGGGATGATTACCCAGGATGTTGGGGCAGGGAAGTACAAGCTGCTCTTCGATGATGGCTATGAATGTGACGTGCTAGGAAAAGATATCTTACTCTGTGATCCTATCCCACTGGAGACGGAGGTGACCGCTCTCTCGGAGGACGAGTACTTCAGTGCAGGTGAGGGCAGTGCCTGCGCTCACCCGCGGGCTGTCTGGTCGCTGAATGCAGTGGGAGGTGGAGCTCGTCCAGGGGGATGAGGAGCCGGGGCGTACTCGGTTCTTGTTTGCTGTCTCGTCAGGGGTGGTGAAGGGGCACCGGAAGGAGTCTGGAGAGCTGTACTATTGCATTGAGAAGGAAGGCCAGAGGAAGTGGTACAAACGAATGGCTGTTATCCTGTCTCTGGAACAAGGAAATAAGCTCCGGGAGCAGTTTGGGCTCGGTCCTTACGAACCCGTCACCCCCCTGACCAAAGCAGCTGACATCAGTCTCGGTAAGGGGAGGTGCTGTTGAACTGCTGTCTGTGCCGTTCTGCATCTTGTGCCTTCGAGATGCTTCTAGTTCCTGGCCTGAAATACCCATGTTTTAATCTTTCTGGGTATTCAGCAATGCTTTTGATGCATTATCATGGGATCTTTGAGGTACTTCTCCAGTTTTGTACCTTGCTTAGAATCTTAGTGGTATTGACTGGTTTGTGGAGAGTGGCCTGCTTCTAGGACAGCGATGCTTGCAGTTCACGCGTGGTGTGGCTGCGGGGGTACAAACTCTTCAGCAGTACTGAGAGGAAGAGAGACAGGCAGGGTACGGGGCTTGAGGAGAAAGATACACAAGCAAGATACCCTTTTCCTTGCTCCTCTCTGTCAGAGGGTGGTAATGTGTACCTTGTAGGGACTGCTGAGTGGGAGCACCTCTGTACATGTGGGTAGGGTGACAGCTCGTGGAGTGAGGTGACAGCCAGTGACTAACCTCTGCATCCCGTGTCACAGATAATCTTGTGGAGGGGAAGCGGAAGCGACGTGGCAATCTTGGTTCTCCCAGCACTTCCAGCAGCAGCACAACTCCCACTCGGAAAGGGCAGGAGAGCCCCCGCATCACAGCAGGAACACTGTCTGGGAAAAGGAAACTCATGACCTTTGAGGATGAGAGATCCCCAGCTAAACGTAGCCGCAAGTCAGCAATTATAAAGCCTGGTGAGAACCCTAATTTTCTGCTCATAAACTTGCATTCAGCTATTTTTTCCTCCCTGGTATTTCTTTAATTGATTTTTCCACTTCCCATACGCAAAAAGAATATGAGATTGCTTGTTTGCTCCACAGGATTTGAGACTGATTCTCCCTGGATGCATTCAGCAGCCAGAGGTATTTTAGCATGGTCCGAGTACATACCTGCCATCTCTTCAGTTCTGACCCCGATGCTGTGATTTGCCTCTCTCCTTTCTTGCGTCATTTCTTCCCTGTTCAGTCAGTCCTGAAATGCGCAGCAGTAAGTGTTGTTTCAGGATGTTGACAAACTGCCGAACGTTGTCACATTACTCAGGGTTTGATTTGAAGATTCTTTGCAACCAGAAGAGTAAAAGATCCCTTCCTGTCCCAGTGTGATCCCAGCCCAGTCCCACCTCCCTCTGTCTCCTCTGGTAAAACAGCTGAAGCTGAACAAGCCCAAATCTCAGGGCCTTTGTGCTGAACCTGGCTTTTGAGTCTCGTGGTGCTTCTGTCCTCTGCAGGGGCTGTGAGAGCTGGAGAGTTTGTAAGCGCCTGTGAGGGTGCAGATGCTGTCGATCCCCCGGCGCTGGAGAACCATCATGGACCCTTGCCCCACAATAAGACCCTCTTTTTGGGCTATGCCTTTCTCCTCACCATGGCAACGCCCAGTGACAAATGGGGCAATCACCAGAAGCCGTCAGATGGTCCCACAGGGAGCAGTGAGGAGGAGGACGGTAAGGCAAATCCTACCCATTGCATTTCCAGGTGGAATGCTCTGGCTTTGGGAAAGGCGTTGGCTGCTGCCGGATCAGGCATTTGTGTGACTGTGTTTTATGTTTTTGCTCTTTGATCCTGTGCAGAAAGGACCTAAGTCTCACTCTTTGTTTTGGAGAATTTACAGCCCGAAATGTGGCAAACCTCAATGATGATCACAGGGCTGTTGAACAACTTAAGAAAGGCTTGAATATTATGGAGACCAGCAGTCTCCTGAAAGCATAATATGAGAAGGGAGGTTTGGATTGATCAGGGATAGTGCTGGGGAACAGGACTTGAAAGCGTGAGTGGGTTTCTCCAGTTTGCCTTTGGTGGAGTCGTGTTTCACGCAATGAAGTGAGAAGGTGCTCACGTGGCTGGTATGGCCAGTGCTGTGCTTCCCTTTCCGCTGCCTTTGTCTTGGGGAAAAGGCTGGGGTCCCTTACAGGAGCGGATGAGGGCTCTGTAGACTGAAGAGCGTATCATAAGCAGATAGATTCTAGCTAAAACCTGAAGTTTCTGTTTCTGCTGTAGACTTTTTAGAGATTACTCCATATGACAAACATTACATAGCACAGCAGCTGCGAGCAGGAGCTGGCTACATCCTGGAAGACTTCAATGAAACCCAGGTAAGGGCTCGCTTACTCAAGTAGAGCAAGAGTTGCAGAACAGTTGAGACTGGGAGGAATTTCTGTGGCTCATCTTGTCCAGCCCCCTGCTGAAAGCAGAGTCAAATAGAGCAGATGGCCTAGGTCCTTGTCCGGTTGGGTTTTGAGTATCGTTAAGGATGGGAACTCCAGAACGTCTCAGGGCAACTTGATCCCATGTTTCACTACCCCCAATTTAAAAAAAAAGTCAAAATATAGAGTGGAGTTTCCTGTATTTCAATTTGCACCTGTTGTTTCTTGTCCTTTAGTGGATAACGGTGAAAAGAGTGTGGTCCCATCTTGTGTACACTCTCCTATCCACCTTGAGTATGCACTGATAAGACCACCCAGGCCTTCCCTTCTTGAGCTTAAACAAGCTCAGCTCTCGGCCTCTTGTCTGTCCGATGCTCCAGCACGTCCTGTGCTCTGTGGTGCTGGGGGAGCTGGGAGGGGATGCAGTGCCACAGGTCTGTGCCTTGGAAAATGAAAGACGTGGAGCTTGCCACCAGATCTGCTTGGACAACTGACTTCATCTGGTGTCACTTACATTTAATAGAGAGAGTAAATTGTTCTTGCAGCATCTCCCCTGAGGATGCAGAGACTCATCTGAACTGGGAGATTGTCTCGCCGTTTTTATATCATAACCAAGTTTCTGCCTGTGAACTGCATAGCTTGGAATAGGTGATAATCACAGGTACTCCTGAATTCAGAATGTGTTTATCTAATTCACCTTTCTCATAGTGTGGCAGTGAAAATCAGGGTTTCAGTTGTTTTCTTCTTTAGTGTTTAGCAGCAGGATAACCACTGGGGTTTTTGTAAGCACTGTCTCCTGTTTACGTGTCTCTTTATCTCCCCTGAAGTGTAGCGCAGCATTTCAGTGTCTTTTAATTGCGGACCAGCATTGTCGAACTCGGAAATACCTGCTGTGCCTTGCCAGAGGGATCCCTTGTGTGTCTCACATCTGGGTCCACGATAGCTGTCACGCGAACCAGCTTCAGAACTATCGGAATTACCTCTTGCCAGCTGGTTACAGCCTGCAGGAGCAAAAGTTGCTAGAATGGTAAGTGCCAAATAACCACGACCCGAGTGCCCAGCCTGAGGATTGTTACGCTTGGGAGGGGCTCCCGAATACTGCGACTACGGAAGGTGCGTCTCGTGGTGCTCCCCACGCTTTCCCTTCCGTATGGGAACAGCACTTCCGTCTTTACCTGGATTCGCAGTGGCCTCTAATGCTCAGGTACATTTGGGTGCCATATACTCAAAAAGACAGCCTCATGAGGAAGACTGAACTCAGGCAGGGCTTCCCACACGCTTGGCTGACTTCTCCAGTTGCTCAGAAACAGATAAAGGCGAGCAATACTGCGGCCGTTCCTTTTCCTTTGGTACGCTTTGAAGCCGGCTTCTGCAGACAAAAGCAGTTTGTAAATCTCTCTGGGCTTTTGGGCAGGAGATGCCTGCCCTCTCAGCCCTGTCAGAGCGGGGGCGTTTTGAATGTGCACAGAGATGGTGGTTTGGGATTAAGGAGGACCCTGGCCTAACTTTGCATTCAGGCTGCTGCACACACCCCCCACCAATGTTGTCTAGCTCTGTTTGACTACCTATAAACGGGATAACTGTTCTATAACTGTAGGGGGGTAGTAAAAGAGCAGGTCATTGTATGCAAGATACTCAAAGAACCAATGTGGGAGCCCATCAGGTGACTAATAGAAATAGATAACGGTCCCCAGATAAAGTCTCAGACTATGGGATGTTCTTCGCAGTCTGTGTTTGTCATCTTTATTCTGCAGGCACCCACGAGAAAACCCATTCCATAACCTGAAGGTTCTCCTGGTGTCAGACGAGCAGCAGAACTTCCTGGATCTGTGGTCAGAAATCCTCATGACGGGGGGAGCAGCCTCTGTCAAACAGCATTACTCAAACGCTCACAACAAAGGTACGCACTGGCCTGTTTCTTAGCCCTAATGGTTTGTAATCCTATGCCACTGTGGTCTCTAGTGTGGCTTAAAACCATTTAGGATGGCTTACAAGGCTGCCTGTAAGCATAAGGGCAGGCAAAGTGCAGACACAAGCGCTCTGCTTGAATGTAATCCAGGGATTATATCTGGAAGAGCTGCCTTCCAGAGGAGATGCTGCAGCAATTTGGGATACAAACCATCAGCTTCCAGTCTACGCTGAAAGGGAGGAATAGGCAAGAGTTGCTCCTGGACCTTCTGTAGGCCACTAAAACAGTGCCTCCTTGTCCTTCTGAGCTGTGTCTCCCACTCTGTGTGGGCTGTAGGCACCAGCACTCAGCCTGTGGTCAGGACTCATTATTTATCCTGCCTGTCGTGTTGGCTGCTGCTTTTCTGTTCATTTCTATCTGGATGAGGGGGAATCTTTTGCTTGCAAAGTGCAGTGTTGTTGTAGAGCGTCTTAACTTTCATGCAGAGAATTCACTGGCTAGGAGAGGGTGTGGGCGAGATTCATAGCGGTGAAACGTTCTGATCTGCTGCAGACGTCCTCCTCACCTGACGTGCCTGTCTTTCCTCCTGTGCAGATGTTGCTCTGGGTGTTTATGATGTGGTGGTGACCGATTTTTCCTGCCCCGCTGGTGTCTTGAAGTGCGCAGAAGCTTTACGGCTGCCCGTTGTCTCACAGGAGTGGGTGATCCAGAGCCTTATTGCTGGGGAGAGAGTAGGCTACAAGCATCCAAAATACAAACACGACTATGTCCCCCACTGAAGGAATACTTTTCCCTGCTCTCCCACTGTTGTGCAGACTGTGTTTTAATCAGGTTTTAAATGTTTGTGTACTTGGACAGTGTGCATGGATTACTGTATATAGTTTTATCTGCTGGGCTTTTATGATGAAATAAATGTTCAATCTCTTGTGGTAGCTGCTGGGACTCCTCATTTATCTGAACTTTTTCCAGGCCCAATCCTCCAGAGAAGGAGGGCAGAGAGAAAGGGAATGCTTACATTTCTGTGAGCTGAATAGCACTAATACTCTCAGTGAAGGCTGCCCTCAACACAAAGTCCATTATCAAGGCAGGGAAAGGTGTTCTCAACTGGCAGCCTGTATTTATAGAAGTGAATACCCTGTGACCAAGTTCAGGGCAGCAGCACTTGTTTGTTGGAAGAAGAGCACGCTGTGCTCCTCCAGGTTGCTGCTGTGATTTTCCGTTCATTTCCTTGGGATATTGCTGAAGGGACTGGTGAGAATTTCTAGGACCAGGTGCCATTTTGCTTTGGCTACCTCTGTTTTTTTGTGTGTCTACGTAGGCATTTACCAGCCCTGGTGCAGACTCGCACTGCCCGAGTAGATACAAGCCTGGGGACCTAGGACGACCGAACTGCAGGGACACTGAGGTGCAAGGAGTGTGTGAGTGCTGCGTTTCTTGGTTCCAGTGGTAATGTGGTAACCCATCTGCTGCTGAGCTGCTGCATTCACAGCCAGGCATCAAGGCAAAAGCTGAGTTAACAGCTCTTCACTCTGACAGTGCTAGAGGCATCCCCGGACCTCCCTCCAGCTTCCTGCAGTCTTTAATTCCCTGCTTCAAACCTGTATGTTTTTTTTCTTGTTCCATATTTTTTTCCCCTATAATTTCCTAGCTCAGTCACCTTCTCGCTGTTTGTCTGTAAATCCCACACCCAAACTTCAGCACCCTTTCTCCAAATTTCCAGCGTTTTGTTCGTGGTCCCAGGATTTTACACTTCACAGCAGGCTGTCCCACCACAGACAGCGGCGAAGGTGCCAGGCCTTACTCTTGCTCTGTCTTTCTCAGTGAGCAGGGATTTTTTTTTTTCCCCCAAGGACACATAACTCTCAGGAGCTCCAGCTTCAGATACTGCGAAAATACCAAAAAAACCCTTTGAGGGGACGTTTGGTTTCCCAGCAGCGTTTTTGTTCAATTGGGAAATTAGATAATACACCCCAGTGAGGGACCGGAGGGCTCTTCTGCCACTGATCCAAATGGACTCAGGGCAGGACAGTTAGCGCAGGGCTAGGAAACCTCTGGATGCACAAGCGGTTCCTGCCAGATCCTGCTTTTCATGGAAAGTGGTGCTGTGCTGCTCTAGTCCCTTGGGTGCAGACATTGACAGTATTTCACATAACTGCACGACAAGACGGCTTTATTTTGGTTCAGTAGGATACTCTGGTAGCATTCTACATAGTCGTGAATGAGAACAGAACATTTGGAGCTGGCACCCCAGTTAAATTTACCCTTAGTTTTAATTCTAGCACACTTCTCTGCCGGCAGAGGGAGCTTTGCACTTTGAACAGGCCACAGCTCCCACTTCTGTTTCGATGTGCGTGATGTTGGCAACTGAAGGTGTGAAGTTTTACAGCGAAATCGAGTGACAGCAGCAGCGGCTCCTTCACCTGCACAGATGCTAGAGCAGTGCACGGTGTGAGAAGAGATTCCTAAAATCTCCTCCTTCCCTCCCCCTTTACCTTGTACTGCTCTTGCAGTTGTTTCATTTGCCTGGAGGGATGTATTTGATTAGCAGACATCGTGTGCTGTACATTGGTTTAGTGCACAAGCGGAACTTCTGAATACAGCCAAACGTCACAGCCAAGAGCAACAGACCGCTCCCCCCGTACTCCAACCTGCGAAGGAGCAGCGTCCAGCAGGGGTCGAGGCATTGCAGCTCTTGTCTGAAGAGGCACAGATGCCTCCCTAGAAGCGTTTGTAAGCATGTGCAGGGCTGCAGAAAGCATGTCTGTACTAGTTTGGAAAGAAATGGAGTAGCTGCCTGCGATCACAGGGCAGCCTCATATAAATGGCGCTTCCTGCCAATTCCTTCTGAAACAGCAGCCAAAGCCAACTACACAGAAAAAGTCAGTTGGGGGCAGCAGTCTCCACAGCCTGAAGAAAAGGTCTTGCTTAAACCCCAAAACTGCAAGAGAAAGGTACAATATTAACTACACGTTGAAAGGATCAACCCACATCAGCATATTTCAGCCAGTGTGAGCTAAGAGCTAGTTCAGCTTCATGCCAAAACAAACCTGAAGGGGAGAAAGCACATGAAAACCAAAAATTAACTCGTGCTCGTTTGTTAGTTTTCTGACATAGTATACAGCAACGCATTGCTTCTAATTATTTTGGCTTAAACAAGCAGTCAAAATTACTTATGATAGTGTAGGTCACTGCATACTGCAAGCACCTCAGGCAACCCTGGAGACACTCCTACCTGCCCAAGGTTCCTCCAGCCTGGGTGTAGTACTTGTTATAATCCAAGCGTAGCAGCAGTTGCGCTAAGTCAGAGTTTATCTGGTGGTTGCGAACACTAGAGAGAATCTTGAAGAGAAGCGATGACTGACGGCTGAATCCCTGCAAAGCAGAAGAAGTCAGTTCTGGGCACTCACGAGAAAGCAAGAACGCCTTTCATCTCCATCCTGTCTAAACCATCCTTTAACTGCCTGAAGAAAAGAATCCCTGCAAGAGAAGTGGTGCTTGTGGTCCAGTATAAGGTAAGCTTCCAGCCACAAGAATTATTAGGTGTTGGGTATCCCAAAGGAGGGGCAGAGGCGCAGGCCGACAGCCACCTCCTTTCTGTTCCAGTAGGGCAATTTCTGCACATCTGTCCACATTCCTCCTCTCTGTGCACACAACATTTTCAACTTGAGAACAGTTAATTGAAATCATTGCAAGCACTCTTAATAGAAGCTCTCAGCTTAAACTCGCTCCTGTTCTACAGCTGTTAAAGCCGAGATGACTGCTGAGGCAAATATTTGCATAGGAGAACAGGTCCACATAAACATAGATTCACCTTCACCAAGATACTGAGTTGTGCAGCTCCCCGTTCATCCAATGGGCCCAGATTCTGGCTGACCAGAGAACAGAAACTGTGACAAAGATCCAGAATTTCGTTTAAGCAGTGGAAAACCTGCATGAGATTAAAAAGTACAAGTTAGTACTTTAAAGAGAGTTCAAACCCAGAGAAAGCTGTTCTTGAAAAGTTGCAGCATTCATAATCAAGATATTGCTGGTAACATCTTCCTTAATGACCAAAAAGCAAGGTAAAACAGCTGTAGCATTTTTGTAAGGCTTTCTATGGAAAAAGAAGTGTTACGCTGCATCTTCCTCCTTTGCCCCCAACCTTTTGCAGCTGTTGCTGGGGAAACAGAGCCCTCTGGAGAGGCGCAGAGGTTGAACACTGGTTCCCCATCAACCGGCCATGCCTGCAGCTTTGGGATGGAGAAGGGAGAGGAACAACAGCGAGAGCTGCGGTTCCAGGCCTTGGGGTCCCTGTTCACAAAACCTGGCATTTCTTTTGTATCTTTGGCCAAGGTAACCTGTGTTCAGGAGCGTTGCACAAGCCCTAACGCCTCCCAGACAAAACTACAGGAACGCTTAAAAGTTCCAGGATGGAAAACTGGTGGTGTGCCACCTTTACGCTATGGCCTCATAGACCATGAACCGGACAGACCTGCGGTATCGCTGCTTGCTTGATGCCAGCCTTCTTTGGGAATGGTTTTTGTGAGGCTGCGTGTTTAATAGAAACACTGGCAACACAGTAACATATTTTTTACTGAAACAACAATAAAAAACACCCTTAAGTCCACTCGGGAACATCTCAACTATTTTTAGCCTCTAAAGTATAAGTAAGAGAGGGAGTTTTTCCTAATCTTATGCATTTCAGAATGAGTCCCTCAGGAACAGAGTTCCCAGCACTATGCTAATTAGTATTTCTTTAATAATTGCCTGTGAGAAAAATATAGCGACAAAATTTAAGTTAATAAGGTTAACTGAACATTGGAATAATTTGATTTAAAATTGCCAGGAATGCACCATCCACACTCTCCAACTACAAGTTAGGTTATCTTAATTCAGTTGTACGTGCTAGTTTACACCTGCTTCATTCCCAGCACTGTCATCTGTGCTGTGCAGGAGATTATCACTGCTCTGTTTTAAAAGAGACTTTTGTTGTATCTGTTCAGAAAGGTGTGTTTCTTAGGACACATCTGTCCAAAGAATTTGTAGATTAAAAAAAGAAAACAAGATCTACTTACAGGTTTCAGGAGGATGAAAGACTGAGCCAACAGATTACTCAAGAAGTGATCGTGAGCCAATCGTATGCTTTCAAAGTCTCGCGTGGCGTTTATCTGCTGCAGGAGCTGTGAGAACTGCGATTCCAGGACATCCACCTGACGGATACGTAAAGAAGGGCCATGAGCATCCTGAGGAGTGGGAGAACTTCAGGCCAGCCAGAAGGTTTGCGTAAGAAACTCACTTTCCTTATTGCTACTCTTACCTTACAGGGCGAGGATCCCCTTCTGTCTCCTGAATGAGGGGTTATACACAACAGTAGTGCATAAAGGGAGTGGGGCGATTTTTGATGCCTAAGTGTTATCTAAGTAGTAAAGGAAATGATCACTTTCTTTAAGATTTACTATTGAAAAAGTATATAGCTAGTATGTAAACAAAGGTATTTGATTGTAGTAATCTCTGGATTTTACTGTCTGGAATCTCGGGGCAAAGGCTGTGCTGCAGAAGCTCAGCCAGGTTACCCTGGAGGATCCAAAAAGTCAGGCCCTCTCAGCTCAGCTGTTAACAAAATGAAATCTAATTCTCACAAGATCAGGCTACTGGTAACTGGTGTTTACATTTGAAAGTGGTCAGAATACGGCTTCTTTCAATTCCTGAAAAAACCCAAAACAAAACCCTAAAGCAACAACTTGTCACTTAAAACTGGAGTTCACTGGGCAAGGGAAGGAGTCAGGATGGTGTCTTAATGGTGCTGCTCCAGAGAGGACCGTGGCTTCTCACAAATGCTTAGGAGCTCTACAGAGCCAAAACTCCTGCATTTCCAGTCGCACTCTCTGATTCACAAGTCCAAAACCTTTATAATTGTACCACCAAGGCTGGGAAGTTCTAGAGTTGTTCCAAAGGAAACCCTAATCTCCTTCAGGTCCAGATTCTTATCTGAACCCTGAAAGACAGGACTTCAGTGCTCCCCCATGAATTTCTGCCAGTTCCTGATTAACTGATACAGTTTACCTTTCTCTGTAATCCTGACCTGCAGATAATACTGAAGATTGTCCACAAGGAAAGCCATGTGATCCCTCAGACGCCACTTGATAGCATCGGTCCTGTTCGATTTCAGGTGTTTGCGTTGCATCTGGAGAGCCCAGCAGTGCTGAAGCTCAGCCTGGACTCGTCGCACACTCAGGAGATATTTGAACACAACGTTGTACCTACAGTCAAAAAACACACAACATTTTGAGGTGAGAACCTTCCATGGGTGCAGGTGCTGGAGAACACAGCCATGCAAGGCTGGAAAAAGAGGCGGTGGCTGCCTGCCCACAGAGAGAGCAGGTCAGGTCATGATCTCAGAGCAACAGGTTTCTGCTTGGATACTGACCTAAAGAATACAGAGCTGGTTTGTAATAAGGAGGGAAAGGTGAACAGTGTTTTGTCAAAATAGCACTGTTTGTAAAATAGCTTATTGCGGGTCTCACAGTCATTACAACAAGCACCCTCAATATGAATAAGTGGAGAGGGTCATTTTAAGGTTCAAGAAGCAAGCTCAAGTGTGATAGCTCTACCTTCCTCCCCAGAGAGGGGGAAAAAGACCCAGACATTAGTGAGAGCCTGAGAGCAGGGAACCTGTAGATGGCTGTACACAGACCATACCTACTACTTACTTCTCCAGAACAGCAGGAGTGAAGAGAATGTGCAGTGGCCACTGAACTTTGTAAGAAAGGCCCAGAGCTGCCCATCCAGATGCAGGGGCTTCACGTGGAGACAACTCCCGGGAAGGCCCTTCGCGAGCCTGAGAAGGATCTGAAAACAAATGAGGTGGTGAATTAACCCATTTTCTCAGTCGAGACAACCATGGCAAGGAAGAAAAGGGGAAAGAACAGAATAAGAAGAGCCAAAGCAGGCTAGGCCATCCCATAGGGAACAGTTAGTATTTAGCTTTAGAGAAGGGTAAGTAATAGGACTTGAAAACAAGGTCATCACCTCCCCTCTTAACTCACTACTGAAAATGCAAGCAGATACCTTTATGGTCCTTTCCATGATACTCAATGGTTAAGTGAAGCAGAGGAAGAAGGTTGTCATCATCTAACAGTACCTTGTGAGCAGACTGCTGAAATGCAACGTTGACATCTGACGAGGAGAGAGCACAGGTATCAGCACCAGATGATTCAGGTAGTGCTGATTTTGCACCCATTGGTTATTTATGCTCAGCCATAAAGGACAACACTGACGTGCTATTTCTACTCTTTTTGTTTAATTCTAGTTTCAAACATGGAGAGAAACCTGCCATCTGAGATGCTACTTTCACCCACTCTGTGAGACACTCCAATTCAGAAGTAATGTTGCTCCAAAATTAACGACATCACGCGGGTGGTAAGATAGAGCTCTTCTGTACCAGGCACGGCTAACCGCTGTCCTGCTGCACTGCAGCGAGGACAGTTTGGTACGTGACTAACCAACACTCACCGTGTTCTGTTACAGCCGTAGGTGGTGTTTTTAACATGTGCTGTGCAGTGTCAATGAAGGCCTGAAACAGCTCACCTCTTCCCAAAAGGTAAAAGTCTTTTATAATCTGTGGAGATATGTTTATTTTATAGATATATATAAGCACATATAAAAAACGGAGCAGAAATTTTAATCCTAACTGATAGCATCCATTTTTATTATTGCTTGGACAACCTCTGCCATTTCAAAACACACAACTACAGAGCTATGGATTTCATTCAGTGCCCAAAAGATCTATGCTGCCTTTGCTTCAAGATGCAAACCACAAAACCACATACACATACCCCTCTAACTCTGTCTCTGACCAAGTTCTATCACTCTGTGCTCATTCGTGAGACCTGGAAAATGAAATTTACCTAAAATAAGCAGTGCAGAATCTAAGACAGTAAAGTATTTAATAGGAAAGAGCCATAAAAAAAGAAAGAAAGAAAGAAAGAGACTGTTCTAGCACAAACAAGCTAGCAGTTGTGTTACCTTCAGTTGTCCTAGTAAATCTGATTCCTCCACCATCAGTTTCCAAAGATGCTAGTGAGAAAACAAAAAACACAACAAATCTCCCCTCAGATTTATCTAAGCACATGCAGGGGGAACAGTAGCTGTCTTAAAGTACTTGTGATGCGTTCAGAAAAGCACGTGTATAAAATGCTATATAGAGCACAAGAGAACACACTAAAAAGCCTGTGTAGGCAGCCCATTAGGGCTCTCCCAGTCATTCATGTGACTGAAGAGCTCCTCAGCTGCGCAGTGGTGGCCCCTCCCGGGATCCTCACCTCAGCAACGGTGCTCCGGATCCAGTCAACCACTGACTCAAAGTCCACCAAACTGAAGAGCGAAAAAAGTCGATGTAGCTCTGCTGCAAAAGTGTCTTCCTGGTTTTTTAGGATGGAGCCTGCACAGCAATGAGAAGTGTGTTTTGGATTATAAAAAGGAATACCATTTAGTCATAGATTCACAAAATCATTTAGGTTGGAAAAGACCTGTAAGATCATTGTGTCCAACCATTAACCCAGCGCTGCCAAGGCCCCCACTAAACCATGTCCTGAAGTGCCACATTTCCCCATCTTTTAAATACCTCCACCACTGCCCTGGGCAGCCCCTTCCAGTCCCCGAGAACCCTTTGGGGAAGAAATTTCCCCTCAGATCCAACCTCACCCTCCTCTGGCACAACTTGAGGCCATTTCCTCTCGTCCCATCGCTTGTTCCTGAGGAGCAGAGACGGACCCCGCTCGCCACCCCCTCCTTTCAGAAGCTGCAGAGGGGATGAACCCCCAGCTCCCTCAGCCGCTCCTCAGAGGATCCCTCCAGTGGATCCCACCTGGCCCCATGGCACTGCGTGTGTCTGCGTGGTGCGCAAGTTGCTCACCACTTCCCCCTGGATTATGGGGCCTTCATTCTGCTCCCCGTCCCTGTCCTCCAGCTCAGGGGGCTGGGAACCCAGAGCACTGTTCTCAGTATTAAAGACTGAGGCAAAGAAGGCATTAAGCGCATCAGCCCCCTCCTCATCCTTTGTCACTGCTAATGTATTTATAGAAACATTTGTATTGTCTCTCACAGCTAGATTTATAGTAGCTAGATTAAGTTCTAGTTGGGCTTTGGCCCTTCTAATTTTCTCCCTGCATACGCAGATGACCTCTTTGTAGTCTCAAGTGGCCTGCCACTTCTCCCAGAGCTCATAAACTCTCTTTTTTCCTGGAGTTCCAGCCAAATCTCTCTGTTCAACAGCCATTCTTCTTCCCCACCGGCTCGTCTTTAGGCACATGCAGACAGCCTGCTCCTGCACCTTGAAATCTCCTTCCTGGTGAGTGTCCAGCCTTCCTGGGCTCCTCTGCCCTCCAGAACTGCCTCCTGAGGGACTCCTGGAGCCCTCCCAAGGGCACCCTCTGAGAGGTGCAGACCTCTTCCAGCACAGTGGGGCAGAAGCGCTGTCCAGGCAGCACAGTCTCGGGTCTGGCGAGGACTGTGAAGCTGATGGACGTGTTCCTGTGTCACTGCTCTGGTGATCCTGCTCTGGCAGAGGGGCTAGACTGGGGGACCTTTTGAGGTCCCTTCCAACTCCTGACATTCTGTGATGGTGTGAGGGGGCCCCAAAGCACGGGTACCAAGGTACAAGATTACTATTGCAAGAACAGTTACGGTATAGACACTTGACATGGCAGAGCTGTGCTATCAGTAAAAACCCCAAGTATTTTCTATGTAAATGACTGCTGCTAACAGCCCTTTTCCTTTTCAGCATTTTGGAAGATACTTGTCAGTCACTCATAACTGAGCAAAGGCCACAGGAAAGATGTTCCTTACCTTTTCTGGTCAGGTTAACATTTTGATTCTCAAACATCTGTACAGATTCTCCCACAAAGAGGATCTTCTCAGCAACCCGCACAGGAATGTATGAAGGCAACATTTCCACTCGCAGAGAAAACTGTTTTAGAGATGGAGCTAACATGTTCTCCTCCTCAATCAAGCGCTGTCAGAGACCCCAGGGAAAAGAAATCAAACAAAAAAAGTGTGAGAAAACCAGACAGACAGAAAAGGTGTTTTGAAGGGGGATGTATGTGTAGAGAGGAGAATCCAAGTACATTGGAACTAAGCAGAAAGGCAGCAAACCTGACTTGCATCATTTAAGTGAGGCTGCAAACTTCTTTATGCCTCTGGTACGCCAGCAGCTCTCCCTAGAAAGGTGCTGCTTTCATCGGAGAGGGGAGCAGAAGTGGGAAAAGGAGAAGCTAAACCTTTGTGGAATCGCTGCAAATCAGCAGAAGGAATTTCTGTTGCATTACATTAGGGTTTTTTGCACCCATAACAACGTTAATTAGCATTACCAAAAAATAATCCTCCCCTACACCCGTTCTTAGACTTTTTAACACTGCTAGCACACTTGTGGTACAGTATGTAAATGCCTCTGCTAGTGAGCAAGTAGGTTAAAGATCGGAAGGCTTGCTAGCAGAAATTAGGCAGTTTTCTCGGTTCCTGCGAAAGGTGTTAATACAGTAAGTTATTAACTTTTTAATGAATGTATTCATAATAAAGAACTCTGGGTACAAAGGCAAGATTTTCTTTCAGAGAAGCAATACTGATTATTTAATTTGGTTTTGTTATTGGAGAATTAGGTTCATTAGTCCAAAAACTGCCACGCTAACAATTTGTTGAGAACGCTTCTACAGAGAGGCCATTCATAGGGCTTTCTGCCGCAGGACTATCCAGCTGTGCCAATGTCTCTGTCCTTTGTGCCTAGCTGCAACCTCCTACTCTATTCTGTGGATCTGCCATCCTAACAGGTCTCAATACATGTCCAGTCTAGCATAGCTTGCACTGAAGCAGAAGACAATACATTTCTTCTTTAGCTCCCTGTGGACTGAAGGATGCCAAGCTGTGACCTGCAGTCTTACCAGGTCCTGCAGTTCTCGTAGCTGTTTTCCTGTGAGTCCCCCAATTCCTAGGTCGTCGTCATCTTCTTCAGGTTGACTAGGGACATTCCCGGAAGAAGGGCCCTGTTTGATGAAGAACTCTTCATGCTGGTCTAGTAGCAATCCATGCAGCATCCAGGCAGACAGCTGCTTATACATGACTCCATGACACACAGCAAGAATCCTGAGCTCGACAGAAACAGACAGAGGGGCCCTTGCACGCAGTAATCAAAACCGCATTGTACATCAGAGTCCAGTTAGTCAGCCAGGCAGTACGGCAAGTGCTAAATGGCTAATGTGTAATTTCATATTTTGTTTTTTAAACAGAGGAAGGTGGACTGATCACTTGCCAAACTGAACTAACATATCCTCTGAATTTGTGGCTTCTCCGTGGAGATTTGCTAGTATACCAGAAGTTTAAGTAAGTTTGCAGTGGCTTCCCAGTCCTGCTGTTTCAGCATGAACACAAATTATCTTTTAAGCAGTATTTCCTCCCAAGAATGTACAAACCAGCAACACTCACCCAGACATATTTACCCTTTGAAGGATCATAAAACAGTAACAGGTCTACCATATGCAAAACAGTTCATGTATACCTCAAAAGAAGAAGAAACATAGGGTCTGAACTTTCCTCAGCCCTAGGTCCAAAGCAGAGAGAAAGCCTTGATTCCTGCCATAAGCCTGCTTTAAATAAATAGTGGGGACTGTGACAGTTTTCCCTGCACGCCACTCTTACTTTTATATCAGACAAGCCTGTTTTGTGTGTACTGTTTTCACAGGTAAGATAAACACTGACACGAACTCTGGTTACTTGCAGAAGAATGAAATTCTAGCTTTACTGTGCTTACATACTTTTCAAGAGCACTGCGAACAGGAGGCAACCCCCCACAGCTGTGTTTGTGGACCGTCTCCAATATCTGACATCCATGAATCTGCAGAGAGAAAACATGGTTAGACTAGGTCTGTCACTTGGATCTGTACTGACCTTTTCAGGCATTTAAACTCTACACTTCCGGCTAACAAGAAAATGCCCTAAAAAGCTGCACAAGTCTTACAGAAAGATGTAACATACTTCATTTAGTGAAGAAAGAGCCCTTTTATGTGTGGCTGTACACCCAAACTTCTCTCAAAAATTCCCCTTAACAAAAAGTAACCATCTCTGGATTCTGAAACCATTAGCTTCTGCCTTTTTTTTTTCAGGTGACAGTGGGAGAAAACAGACTTAGAAAAGAAGAAATTCCAACCACCAGCATCGTGTACTATGAAAGGTACTGTGATTATAAAATGCAAGTCATCAAAGATTATATTGATAAAGTAAAATCCAGTGTAAATGGGTTTGCAAAATAGTTATTCAATACTTATAGCAGTACCAGGAATGGGGCACCCCTTACTGAGAACACATTCTTTCCTGGTATTAACAGTCTGGGAAGAGGGCAGAAAGAACTTTATCAGCTAATGAGAAAACTTGTTAAGAGAAACTAGCTATGATTTTACTGTACCTTCTGAGTCTTGATCTGTTCCACCATGACCATCACAGAGGGGAAGAGTAACTGAAACTGCAGAACAAGGAGCAAAATACTAAATTAGGTTGCTGTGCAATAGAGGGAGAAAAACTATACTTGAGTAAGTATGGGCAGCATCTGATTACAGTAATTTAGTGAAACTATGATCTGGCTTTCCCCATGAATTAGAAACATGACATGAAAATCTCTAGGAAGAACGTCCTCCCTCCTCTGAACCAAGATCCATCAAGTTACTATATTTCAGCAGCAGTTCAGGCTAAACACAGGCAGTGAGGAATATGTGAGGGTCAAGGTGGAGGACCTAAGCTTTGTGTCGAAGTGCAAGGCATCCTCTGAGTATGATTAAGGGACTACAAATGTCAAGGCGTTAAAAAGAAATGGCATGACGTGACAGACTAACCCTTATTTATCCCACACAGACTCATTAGACTCAAGGAGTGATAAGAGTAACCAGAGAGCACTACCTGTTTATTAACCTGACATACCTGGTCCAAGGAATAATTAACATGCGAGATGGAAAGATGTGGGTCAGCCAGAAACTGTAAGAAAAATAAAGCAATTAATGAAAATTAAGGTATGGCACACTGGCTCTTTTCTCCAAACCTTCATATTTTTGGGCTGTGCCCCATTTTAGGCACCACAGGATGGTGACAGTACCCAAGATATGACAGCTGCTAATCTAGCGGAGATTAATCAAAACTGTTACAATTGAAAACAGCCACTGTGGTCTGAAACAGCATTGGGCAGATGGGGCCCTTACTGAACTGAAGGTAGGGGGGACTTAATACTTACTAGAATGAAGTAATTTACAATGGTACCTCACAGGCGTAACTTGGAAAACATCCCTGATGTGGAAAGGTAAATACCTTGTTTCCTCTTTAGCTGTTGCTACTTAGCACATTAGCTGCACAAATTACAGCTTTCCACACCTGTCAGCAGCAGGACAGCCTTGTTCCACATCTCCCTCCTTTACCTCTTGTTCTAGGTCAAGTAGTGCCTGTCGATACGGCTGCAGCACTGAATCAAGACCTGTGCAGAAGGCTCGCAAATAAATGCCATGTAATCCACTCTGATTTTGCTGAGATGGATGATCCTGAAACCGACAATAAAATCTACATCAGCTCTCCAATGCAGGTCTAAAGAATAATGCAGTTTCTGTGCAGTGTTACAGCAGCAGCCAGTGGCCCAAGCATGTTGAAATGCATCAGAAAGTGCCCAGAAAAAAACAACACCACCACCACAAAAAACCCAAACAAAAACCAGAAAAACCCCAACAAAACCCAGAAGTTTGTCACAAGTTACTTGAGCAGCGTTTAATTTAGCTCTTCTGTGGACAAATGCAAGTGCTGGGGAGCACTGGTAACTTCAGTGCTCCTGGTGCTTGTGCACGCCGCTTGGATGGCAAAGCTCCTCACGACCGTGAGGACGCACTGCAGCGCAGGGGTGAGCGCCCTGCAGCTGACGGACGCCGGCCGGTCCGCTCTGACCGGACACTTACACCGTGCTGCCCCTGGACCCAGACTTTACACCGGGCCCATCTTCCGCTGTACGGCGCCCTCTCTTGCTGGCACCGCACAGAACACCGGGGGCCCTGCTCGGGGAGCGCGGGCACGGCTGCGGGACGCCCTGCCCCGGGCGGCTCGGCTCGGCCTGGCCGGCATCACCTGCTGCTGGACGTGTCCCGTGTACTGCTCCACGAACTCGGCGAAGCGGATATAGTCGGTGCCGAGGCGGCAGAGCCGGTTCAGGACGCTGGTCTCGCTGGGGTGCAGGAACGGCAGTTCCTGGGACACCTGAGGGGAG